CGTCATTATTAACTTTGTCCACCAGACATTATAAGTAAAATATTTTCCACTTCAAATGTGTTAAAACTGTGCAGTAGGGAGCCAGGCTAACCCTAGATTTTAATGAGAAAACACTTCTAATCAAGACATCAGGCATAACTTAAGCAAACAAAATTAGGTCTTTAGAACAATTTATTCTAATATGTAATTTTAAATGACTTTCTGTGTAGAATAGAAATTGATCATAAGATTAATGAGTGAGCTAATCATAAATTAGGAAATCTGAATTTATTAGCAATAGTCTTTAAGTTACATTTGCTTTATAAATTGTATATGATTGCTAAATATTTAGAAGTACAGGCAGAAGCATCCTTTTAAAAATGTACTGCTTTTTAAGTTCTCTCTATGAAAACTAGGAAAGGAAAAAAAACATTTTTTATATGCAAGACTTCCTCCTATAAACCGTCAATAACAGTTAAGTATATTTTTGGAGACATGAGACAGCACAAAGATGCTTCTGTAATTCATTAGAAGGCCCTTCTTAAGTATAATTATATTACATAGCTCTGCTTGGTCATTAGTTTCTTGTTTAGCAACAATGTCCTTCATTTTAAATCCTTTGATGGTAATCATTTGTAACTATGCCCTTGAATTCTGAAAGCCTGTATACCGCAGCCCTGATGAACAATGGGTATTTCTGGACAACGATGTAACTGGTTTCCCATAAGAGATCATACAGGAAATGGCCTGTAACAACACCAACAATTTGCAAAAGGTTTCTGAGCTTGAAGTACAACCCCAAATGTTTGTGTGGTTATGCATGTGTATGTGTGTGTGCACTTGTGCAATAAAAAACTAAAAGCAAGTCGTTAGATACAAGGCATGACTTTCTTAATGGCTTAATAACCATGTCACATTTTAAAGTTTTTGATACTGCCTAAATTAAGGTGTGTTAACACATATCATAGACTGACCTGAAAGTGAGACATTTTGGAGATATTTTTAGTTTTACCTGTCTTTTTTGTGCAGAAAAATGTCTCATGTTTGTGGATTTACTTACATACATATATATTGAGCACCCATATGCATTGGGAACTATTTAGGTGCAGAGAACACAGGTCTTGGTTTCCACAAGAGCAACCGGGTCAGCAGCAGGGGAACAAATAAGTCAACCTGAATAACCTGATTATCCTCCAGCCTGTGAGAAACAGAGGATCACGTTAATGTTAAGACTTTAATGCTCCATCTTGTTACCCTCGCCTGCAGATCGAGTGCCTCCTCAAAATTGAGTGTTTCTGGGGATGCCTTACAATATTTTGACCACACCCCTTGGAACACACTCTCTCTATCCTTCTGCCCGCTAGTGCAACCAGCAACAACATAGACTGCGCTCTGATATTAAGACCAACTGCCCACTGGGATCCCCCTGAGAGAGGGCATCATGTTCAGCTGCTGCGTTTGGATTCTAGCGTCAGGTCCCGTCGTTTATCCCTGCTCTGCACCATGTCACACGTTCTGCTGTCCCTGTCTTTTCTTCCCTGTTTCCCTCCTCTCCCAGCTTTTGTTCTCCCAGGTTCTTTGGAAAGCCACATTGACATTCTTCACACATGGCAAGAGTTTTTGGTCAAAAGAAAAAAATCCGCAACATGCTCCTTAGCACAGTGATTTGAGAAACAAGGCTGACTTCAACTTGAAAGAAAAGCTTAAGGTAGGCAACCAAACCAAACAAAAACTCCCCGGAACCACTCTGGCCACATTGTAATTCTTATTCATAAAAGCTAAATACACTTACACTTTACAGGTGTGCATTAAGTAAAACCCCCCCTTACCAGTGCAAGAAGGTGAGTACTGGTGTCATTAAAATTTTTATTATTGAGTCACCAATGGTTAAAGAGAGCCATATAGACATCTACATTTCCCTAAGACACAAGCATTATAGTAGGAACCAGAATTATTTTCTTAGGGATTAGCCATCTGGCCAGGTGGCACCATAGAACACTGTGGAAACAATACTTGCAGAGTGCCCCTCACCCACTGAGGTAGGGCCTTTATGTTTTCTTCACTGAATCCTTATGACCAACATTAGGAGGTAAGTAACAGGTAGGTAAGAACTGACACAGACAAAGACTGAGGCTTACAGGTTAAGTATCTTGCCCAAGGTTTTTCAGCCCTTCTAACTTACTTCAGCTCCTCATTCTTAAGGTGCCAGAGCCATTTCTAAGATTCCCATGTTCCTTGCCTCGTTTGTGTGTTTTCCTTTCTCTATAAAGCAGTGGGAACCCCAGGTCAGGTTTGGTTTGGATAGGAGTTGCCTCAGAGAATGCCCAGTATCTCTGCTAGTCCACCACATCACAAGCACTCTAACCAAAGAGCAGATGGATAGTAGGGACAGATTCCTTTGTAGCTGTTATTAATACAACAAGGAAACACTCGAAGTTTTGCACCCACACAGATCTGGATTTGTATCCCATTTCTACTACCACCTGTGGGACTCAGGGCAAGCTGTTTAACTTTTCTGAGCCTTAGTTTTCTTAACTGCAATGTGAAGTTAATGCTGCCTACTTCTCCACACTATGGTAAGGATTACAGGAAGGACTTGGCAAACAGTGGCTAATTATTCTGCCTCCGATCTCAGCAGTTCCTGGCCAGGCACAGCTCCTGCATTCATCACTGCTTTGCCCGAGTCGGGCCAGGCCAGCCCTGGTCTCTAAGTCAGTGTTGATCAGCATTAGGAGCCTAGGCCTGTGAGACTGTGGTCCTGACATTTCGCCTAGATCCTGCTGTACCTGACTTCTCCTCAGTCTTTCTCATCCCTAGCTCAGGTTCTGTCTGGCATCTAGGTGAATGAACTGGTCTTCTTCCAGCTGCCAAAGCCTGCTGGATTGGATGGCCACATTCACTTTACATCCTAGTCCATGCCCAAGATCTTGATATCTTTTAGATGCTATAGAATGTTACTACAGAGCTGGCCTCTGCAACTGGGTATGATCATCCTACTCATGTATTTTTATTGTTCTGGGCATCTCCTCAGAAGTTAGAAGTGAAACCAGGCCTAGCCCACAATGCAGGAGACCGAGGTTCAACTCCTGGGTTGGGAAGATTCCCTAGAGAAGGAAATGGCAACCCACTCCAGCATTCTTGCCTGGAGATGAGCAGCCTAGGAGGCTATAGTCCATGGGATCAAATGAGTCGGACGCAACTTAGCTACTAAACCACCACTGAGCAATCTCCTAAGTGGCAGGTCCTGCAAAAAGACAGGTATGGTCCAGACAATGGAGCTAAATGCTTTACAGGTATGATTTCACTTAATCCTTGTTATGATCTGGTAAAGTAGGTACCATGAACATCTTCATTCAAAAACTGAAACTTGGGAAGATTGAGGGCCTTTCTTCAAGTCATGCAGGAAGTTAGAGGTGAAACCAGGCCTAGAATCCCAAGCCAAGGGTCACAGCCATTATACCATAATGCTCCATCCAATCTGTCAATCTTCCACTTTTCTGGGTGTTTGATATGCTCTATGGCAGCAGGTGCCTTCTTTCAATGTGGCAACTCTTACAATGTACTGTGATTAATTTACTTGTTTCTGTTTTTCTCTAGACCAGGAGAGGCCTGAGGGCAGGGATAATGTGTTTGTTTATCCCTGTGCTCCAGTGGGTAGCACAATATTTGGCACAGAATAAGAAATAAGAAATCCAGAAGAGGTTTGCTGACTGAGTGGTAGTGGTTTTTTCTTTTCTACCTGCTGACTTATGCTGCTGAGGTTCCATATGCCTTCTATCCAAACTCACCTGAAGGATGACAGCTCTGGAATCAACACTAGCAGTTACTCTTTGGTCCAGAATGGTGTGTGTGTGTCTGTACATATCCGTGTATTTGTGTTTGTACTTATGTGTTATATTAACTAAAGTAACTTTAGCTGTGTTTTCAAACACTTGTCTACATCAGAAACTTTAAGCCACCATGCTTCTTTTCCACACACTTTGCATGACATAAATACTTTTAAAGAATATAATCTATTGAAAGAATAGAATGCTGCCCAATTTGGGTTTTGTCTAATGCTTCCTTCTGACTAGATGCAGGCTATGCGTTCCCAGCCAGAGTGATGTGTGTCCTTTTCAGGCTCACACATCTGGAGGCCCCTGATGTCTATTTATGCATCTGAAGTTAATTTTGATCAACCAGTCAAGATACTGTCCTATGTCTTCCCTGCGTGGTTAACATTTTTTTCCCCTTTCTTTTAACTGATAAACAATCTATGAGGAGACATTTTAAGACCACACACATATCCAGTTACTCATCAAAATTTCCTCCTGGATTCATTGATGATTTCTGCCTGTACCTATCTTTAATATGATGTTTGCAAGATGACTCTTCTGCAGTTAAAAGGAGTGTTGGTGGTGGTCTCATCATTAAATTGTATCCAACTCTTTGCAATGTCTCAGTCTAAATTGGATCCTATGAAGGAGGGAAAAATGCCATAGAAGACATTATTGAATCATTGACAAAATCAGAATATGAATGGAGGATTACATAAAAGCACTACATAAAAATTAAGGCTACTGAGATTTACTCTCAAGTGATTCATAAAAATCTGTGTGTATATGATATGTGAATGAATATATATGAGTATACACACATACACACACACACACACACAGAGGGAACATATAAATGAGAAAGCAGATGGATGGGATAATTATTCAAAGGTAATGGGTATTCCCTCTATTATTCCTATTCTTGCAACTTTTCTGTAAGTTTGAAATTATTTCCAAATAAAAAATTAATAACAAGCTTTTAGCCACCTCTAGAATAAACATTGGATGTCCCACATGAAATTATGTAAGTCTTTAGTGGCTGACATTGAATCAGTTACCAAGGACCATTTCTCCTGGATGGAATGATCCCCAAGTTCCAGCCCCATAGGAGATCCTACGATACCTGGTGAAACTTCTGTCTCCATGATGGTGCCCGCGGCAACTACCAAGTAAATAATGGTGGTATTTTGAAATGGAAGACTCAAGTTTTGGTTGCACATGTCTCAGCTCTCTTTATTTAAAGACGATGCAGAAATGAATGAAATGATACCTAAGGGCCTCGAATGTAAGGTGAAATGACAGAGGTCCCCGACGCAATGATATGAAACCTGGCATCAGCCCCTGAAAGCTCTGCTCAGTCCCCTCTCATGATGGCTGCGTACTCCTTCTGGTGTTCAACCAGCTTCAGGAATACTTGATATTTCTTGTCATAATATCTGTAGGAAAAAAATAATCATGTTGAATGATTTCAACCAAACTGTTGTACAGCTTCCCCCGAGGTTTAGAAGAACAGGAATGTGTCTGTTACGGTTTTGCAGACACTTCCCACTTTTTGGATGCGGACAGCGCCCCGAGTCACATGTTTCACACCCACTATCTTTAACCTCCATGGGTGAATCCACATCTCCACTTTAGAGGTAAAGGTTTTAACCTGAGAGTTGCTCAAGGAGGCAAATCTAAAAGAGTATCACTAAAAATGGGCAGATCTGGAATTCAAACTCAGGGCTACCTGATGTCAAAGCCTCCACTATAACATAGTGAAAACCCAGGGTTGACACAGGACTTTTCACATTCTCAGCTTCAATAAGTATTTCATGTATGACTACTCCACCCCCTACTCCAGTTTAGTGACTGGTTTAAAGTCACAGCCTGCCCAGAGATGAGACTGAGTGTTTTAATCACCCTTTGCAGATTCTGCACCTGTATTTCCTTTGCAGGCTGCTTTATCTGGGAGTAAAACCCCATGAAAACATGACTAACGCCTCTCCTGGAGCTGCACCCTGCCTTCCAGGCATCCCACAGAGGACCCTGCTCTCCTGTACTCTCTGGCTGAGTCTTCAGATGAGACCTGTTAGAACCAGTGCTGCCCATGAGTCAGACAGCTGAAGCTACCTTGGCATCACAGTCTTCAAAAGGACAATAGTAGCTAAGACCAGTTATACTTGCAGATGGCAGCTTGGCCCTTATTCCTTTTTGTTGGGAGAAAGGGGTAAGGGGTTAATGAAACCTGTCTAACATGTCTTGGTAGATTCTGAGCTTCTTTGAAAAGAAGTCTTCATGAAGGAACTTTGAGGCAAGCTTGGGAATTGGGGGTGAGAGAGTATAAGAGTAACCCTGGACAACACGCAGGACTAAATGGATTAACAGGAACACAAATCCCCACTCCCATTCCACCCCCCATCCCTGGCACTTCTACTTTAAGAACTCTGGTAACTGAAGAGCTGTGATGGGACCAAACACAGGGTTAAGAAGTGGACTGGGTTTGAATCTCAGCTTGGCATCATTGCTAGTTGTGTGACCATGGATATTTTACTTAATCTATTCATTCCTAAATGTCCTATTTGTAAATGGGACAGCCCTCAACCTCAGACAGCTCTCTGCCTCAAGAGAGCTGTTATGTGAACTAAATGAGGTAATATTTGAGAAGCTCTTAGAACAGCACTGGGATCATAGCAAGTGATACCAATACTGGCTACGGCTATTTCTTAAAAACTAATGCTCCAGTATTATCTTCAATCTCACTATATGTAGGTTCTACTAAAACTCGCTCTATGAGCCTCCAAATGTATTAACCATAGAATGATTTGGGGAACAACAATTTGCTTCTTCTAATGTTACTCTCTGACAATCTAATGTCAATAATTTTTTTCACTATATGAGATGGATTTTCTGACTTTGGGGAAACTTCTAGAAGGGAGTTTGGGTCAGTGTTCCTTCTCATACACTTGAAGATTTTCAGTTTTAATACTGAAATCTTCGCAGCAACTTTGTACAGTGGGAAAAGCATCGGCTTTTCAGGCAGAGAAGCCTAGGTGATTTTGGGAACTTCTTTAACTGGTCTGAGTCTGTTTCCCCACTGTTAGACGGATGATAACAGTACCTAATGTCATAGAGTGACTGAACTTTAAACATGAAAATGAACATGAAGTACTCTGTAGGCTGTCAAACTCTTATACATGTGAGCTAATGTTCTCATATCCTTCTAGTATTCTGAAATGTCAAGAGATGGATAGACTGTTACTCAGGCATAAAAAAGAATGAAATAATTAATGAAATTTGCAACCACATGGATGGACCTAGAGATTATCATACTAAGTGAAGTCAGAAAGAGAAAAATACCATAGGATATCACTTATACGTGGAATCCAAAAAAAACTATACAAATTAATTATTTACAAAACAGAAATAGACTCACTGACATAGAAAACAAATTTATGGTTACCAAAAGAGAAAGGGAAGGAGGGATAAATTAGGAGTTTGGAATTAAAATACATACACTACTATATATAAAGTAAATAAGCAACAAGAACCTACTGTATAGCACAAGGAACTATACTTAATATCTTGTAATAAACTATAATGGAAAATAATAAAAAAAAATCTCTCTATATATGTGTATATATGTATATACTTAATATCTTATAATAAACTATAATGGAAAAGAATCTAAAAAAATCTAAAAATATATATACACACATATATGCACACATATATACAATATCTGCATAACTGAATCACTTTGCTATATGCCTGACACATAGCACAACACATTATAAATTAACTACACTTTAACAAAAAAAAAGAGAGATGGATATACTATATTTTCCCTCTTTTATACATGGCAAGCTGAGGTCCCAAGGCACTTCTTTCCTTGTGCTTTTTATTTTTCAATCTTTTTTTATTGTGGTAAAATATACATACCACGGCTTCCCTGGTGACTCAGATGGTAAAGTGTCTGCGTGCAATGTGGGAGACCTGGGCTCGATCTCTGTGTTGGGAAGATCCCCTGGAGAAGGAAATGGCAACCCATTCCAGTACTCTTGTCTAGAAAACACCATAGACGGAGGAGCCTGGTAGGCTACAGTCCATCGGGTCACAAAGAGTCGGACACAACTCAGCAACTTCACTTCACTTCATACATACCACGATATTGACTGTTTTAGACATTTTAAACTGCACAATTTAGTAGTATTAAGCACATTCATATTACTGTACAGTCATCGCCACCATCCATCCATGGAACTGTTTTCACCTTGCAAAACTAAAACTCTACCCATTAAACAGTAACTTCCCTTTCTCTCCTTCTTCCTAGTCTCTAGCCACCACCTTTCTATTTTCTGTCCCTATGAATTCGACTGTTCTAGGCCCCTCATGTAAGTGGCACGCTATGCTAAGTCGCTTCAGTCATGTCCAACTCCGTGCAACCCTGTGGACTGTAGCCGCCAGGCTCCTCTATCCATGGGATTCTCCAGGCAAGAATACTGGAGTGGCTTGCCATTTCCTTCTCCAGGGAGTGGCATGTAAATGGAATCATACAATATTTGTCATTTTGTGACTGACTCTTTTCACTAACATAATGTCCTCAAGGCCCATCCGTGTTGTAGCACATTTCAGAATCCTATTTTTTAAGGCTGAATAATATTCCATCATATGTACATACTATGTTTTCTTCATGTTTTCAACTGTCAATGGACACCTAGGTTGCCTTCATTCAGCTACTGTGAATAATGCTGCTATGAACATGGGTGCATAAATACCCAGAAGTGGAATTTCTGGGTTATATAATAATTCTATCTTTAAATTTTGAGGAACCACTGTATTATTTTCCACAGAGGATGCACCATTTTACATTCCCACTAGCAGTGGGCAAGGGATCCAGTTTTTCTGCACCCTTGTAAATAAAAGTGAAAAGTGAAAGTGTTAGTTGCTCAGTCTTTGTGACCCTATGGACTGTAGCCCGCCAGGCTCCCCTGTCTATGGATTTCTCCAGGCAGGAACACTGGAGTGGGTTGCCATTCCCTTCTCCAGGGGATCTTCCCAACCCAGGGACTGAACCCAGGTCTCCTGCATTGCAGGCGGATTCTTTACCCACCTGAGCCACCAGGGAAGCCCATACTAGCTATTTTTTTTACTTTTATTGACAGTAGCCATCCTAATGACTGTAAATTGGTATCTCTTTGTGGTTTTGATTTGCATTTTCCTAAAGATAAGTGATGTCGATCTTTTCATGTGCTCACTGACCATATATTATTTTTGGAGAAATGTCTATTCAAGCCCTTTGCCCATTTTTGATTGGGGTTGTTGGTTTTCTTGTTGTTGAGTTTTAAGAGTTATCTGTATATGGATATTAATCCTTGATCCTTCCATCTTAGGTCTGTGTGGCACAGACCTCAGTGAGTGTTCTGTTCAGACAAGAACGTGATTTGAGTCAAGGAGATGTTGAGAGGGGCCCAGAAGGGCACCGGCTCTCTTTCCACTTGCAAATCTTCGGGCCACCTGCAGATGGTGCTAGAGCACCGTGTGTGGCTCCCTCACGGAGGCCCGCTCCCAGCTGACAGCAAGAAACCAAGGATTCTTCTCAAAAGAACACGTGGGATCTACTCAAAGAACTGAAAAACAGGCTTTCCTCAAAAGTCTTCGGAGGGTCAGTGAGGAGATGGAACGAAGAATCTGTTTCTAATTTCAACAAAAGAGGGATGTTGCTGGCCCAGGTCTCCTCTCCATGTTCTGGCATAGAGCTCCCGCAGCTATTTAGAGAGGGGTTTATATTCAGGGGATTAACAGCTCCCCTTTGGAGATCTTCTAAGAAAATAAAAGGTGGATGGCTTTCTCCATGGACCATTCCACTCTGCTGTGGTGGGACCTTTTCCTGTCCATTACATAAGGTAGAATTTGCTTTTATGTCTTAACCTCAAATACTTTCCTAAAACGATAAAAGCCACTGGCACAATTGTTCCTTCATCTCTAAACTGACAACCAGTGAGTCAGTATAGGTTCTTTTCATCTCTCGAATTGATCCTTGAAAAGTTTTTCATCTGGTCTCTCTGCTTCTACCCTTAAGCCCTCTCATGCATCCTCTAAGAGGATCTTTCTAATATCTGCATCTGAACAGGTCCCATCACTCCTTAAAATTCACTATCTCCATTCTGCTGGGAGGATGAAACCTGAGGTCCTTAGCTCTCTCACAGCTCCCTGTGAGAGGAAGCCTCTGTTCCCCCTATACCCAGTTCCACTTCCCGTCATCTCCCATCTCATACTTTGCATTTCAGGATTATGAGTTGTCTAGAGTTTCCTGAATATACGATGCAGTTCCCACCTTTACAACTTTGCTTTGTTATTCCCCCTACTGACAAAGTTCTTTTTGGTTTTGGTTTGACAATTTCTTTTAGGCATTTAAAGTCAGGTAAACTTAACCTCCTCTCAAAAGCTTTCCCTTACCCCCACAGGGTCAAATTTTCTTCTGCTTTGCTTACTTTATCACCTAGTAACACATTTATTATATAACATACCTGTTTGTCCTGAAGTGATCTATTATATAAATAAGATTGTGTCTTACTTTCTTCTAAGTCCTGCCTAGATGTCAAACAGCATAATGGCTTGAAGACAGGAGGGACTCAATAAATAAGTGTTTTGTGAACTGGGGTTAAAATATTAATCGAAGTCATGTTGGTCTACTGTATAGCATAGGGAACTATACTCAATATTTTGTAATAACCTATAAAGGAACAGAATCTGAAGAATACACACATGCACACACACGCATACACATATATAACTGAACTGCTGTATGCCTGAAACTAACAGGATTATTGTAAATCAAATATACTTCCATTTTAAAAGAAAGTCATGTTGTAACCCTCAAAGTCACGTAACGCAAAGGCAAAGGGTGGAGGAACAGATAAATGCTACTGTGCGCGAAGACATGAGATTTCCATTTTAGGACAGATGAGACCAGATTTGCAGTTAATGACCTAAGGAAAAGAACATTGATTTGAAAGTTCAAAAGTTAATATTTGACCCCCAGGTCTGGCCCTTCCTAGCTCTGTGATCTTAGGGAATTGAAAATGACTTTACCTTCCTGAGATGTAGTTTTATCAACTATTAAATGAAAAGGCTGGCTTGCTGACCCCTGTGGTTTATCTAGCTCTAGAGTTGCGTGTGTCTATTGTTTTCATTCCTCAGTATTGTGCATAGAAAACATACAAACTTACCTTTTATCCTCATGTCTAGGAAACACAACTTTTCCAACTTTGCTCATTTTTGCCATTGCCTCCTGTCAAATAGAAAACAGAACACAGCTAAGTTGGAAAGTTAGGACCTAAGTGAGGCCTATCACAGGCAAAGACATGTTAATGAGAATTTACTTCCCCTTAAGAGATTCAGTTAGTCCATTTTTTTTTTCAACTTAATTTCTCTAGTGTTAAGATTAAAACCCAGTGAATATTAAAAGTTACATCTACCACCACACAGCTTGGGCTTAACAAATGATTGCCTATCGAGACCTCCAGTGCATAACAACCTGGAAGGCAAAGTACTTTTGTGATGGCTCGCAGCGGGCTATGGGAGGGAACTATTTCCCCTTCCCATTGCCCAGACATGAAGGCCTGAGAAGGCAACATAATCTGCCAGAGCCTGTTGTCCACTGAACTCACAGAAGCCACTCTGCACCCAAACTTTAGGTCCGAATATTTAAGACCTCTTCATTTCACTTTCAGTTCTTTTCCCAGTAGTCTCTGCAACTGTGAGTACAGATGTGAGACCTCTGGGCTGAGTCTAACAGACTCGACCTCAGGACATTCTTGTCTTTACAATGGGGCAGGGGGGCAGTCAGCAAGTTGCAGTGTCTTGGGTGGACATGGTCGGAATGAACAGCAGCAAGATCAACCACAGATTGCATTGGCTCCATTGTATGAATGGAGAGGTCAGGTTTCCTTGGGTGGTCTCCCAATGTTGTTAAGTTCGTGGGAAACTTAGGGGAGTAGAGTGAACCCATACTTTGTGGAGTCCAAAGACTTGACTTTGGGAGATTGCAAGCAATAGCATGACAAAGCTCCTCAGAAGAGGTCCTGTCTTGGGAACAGCTATTGAACTCTTATTGTTAAGGATGCAGTCATTCTGGGGTCACATATGTACAACTTCTTACTCTATACATGTATTAATTACTCACTATGTACCAGACACTGTGCTAGGAATACAGATTTGTGTAAGACACGCCCTATGGCCCACAGAAACTCACATATTAGCAGAGGAGGAAAGAAATGTAAGAAGCTGGCTACCACACAGAATGTGAAAGGCCCTTGGTATCTTCAAAACATGCCCAAGTGTTTCCTTGAACATCCTTACCACTTTACTGGTGATTTATTTATTCACATACACATACATATGTATTTATATAATTCTATAAATATTATGTTTATTATTTATCACTAATTCTTGTGTGACAAGTCATGTACCTACTAGTTTATATTCCTTCTCTGCCTCTTCATCTTTCATTCTAACGAGAATGTAAGCAACATAGGCTGGGAGATATGTCTATTTGCTGCTTAATCTCAGTACCTAGAATATTCATAAAACATATTGAGCCCCTTCCACGTGCCAAGCACAGCATTCAATATATATGGAAAACAGAGATGAAGAATAAATGGTCCTTTCATCAAGAAGCTCACCATGGAATGGAAAAAACATTTACTATGATCAAAATAGAATGTGATAAATACCATGCTAGAAGGAGATAAACTTCTTTTCAATAGTTATTCAAGGATCAAGAAACTTAATAGTTTTCCATCTACTAATCACTTACACATATTTCCAGTCTGGCAAATACGTTCTACCAGCTCTTTCCCAAGGATGCCATGGACATTCTGACCAGTTATCTGGTTTCCTAGTGCTCAGTGGTTTTAAAAGTGCTGTTTGGGAGATCAGAGATGCTGAGAGTAGGAAGCCCACTGACAGAAGGAAAAAGAAAAACAGCAGTCTTACTAAGGAGGAGGTTTGAAAAATTATGATAAAATTATTGAAAAGGGAATCAAGGTGAAAGGATAAGAACCAACAAAGGGCAGCCTAGGGACATTTTGTAAAAGAGCATCTATATCTTGGTGTGGTCACTGCTGTTCCACTTAACAAGAATATTTAAAGAGCTCTGCTCACCCCAATGTATGTCAGAACATTCTCCTTCAAAAACTAAATTCTGATTTCCTTTAAAGCAAGTCCCATGTGTTGCTGAGATGGTCGCAGTCATCCCCCCCACCAACTTTGCCACTAGGTCTCCTGTTTTGGGCTTGCTTCTTCCTTCACAGTGGTGCTCTGTTCTGCTCTGCCTGTTTTAGGGCAGATTTGCCTGCTCTGAATCTTGAAAATACCCTGGGGGTATCCTCAGCATTGGGCTTTGGTGTTAGACTTGAGTCGACATTCTAAGACTGCCTTCATGGGTGGGATCCAGGAAACTTGTGTTATATAAGAAGCATCATAAATGTCACTTCCCTTCCCACCATAATAGATGTGTAGACACACGGCAGATAGCAGGGAATTCTTTCTTCCTGTCTTCATGTTACTTTTGCTTATTTTTAAAATAAATGTTTGAGGAATAAAAGCAATAGAGATTTCAAAGGTTTAACAAGAGGTTATTTTGTTTCTCACAAAAGTACAGATTTAAGACATTAAGCTGAACTCAGTTATTGATTCCACAGAAGGTCTTCCCTGACTCATCCTCACTGCCTGCCTCCCACCTAGAATGAGTTATCTGCTACTGTAGAAACTTGTGCTCCCATCTATCATAGCATTTATAACACAGTACCACAATTTTTTGTTAGCACATCAGCTGCCCCAACTAGACTCCCGCTCCTTAAGCAGCAACTGTTTTAACTATTTCCACTGCCAAACTCAGCATCTGGGGTATCGCACGTGCCCAGCAAATGTCTATGGGATGAACGAACTTAAGGACCATACATGTGAAGGAATGTTAAAATGGAAGTTTTGTCTGAGAGCTAAAGTTGACAGATATAAGACACCACAGTGAGCTGGAAACAGACCACCCTGAAAGGGTAGCTGAGGACCCATAAATCAATTCTGAAACCTTTCATCCATGTGGAAGGTCAGAAAAAGAGATGGAATTTTAGGAGGGAGCCGTGTGTGGACTGAGCATCAGGGCTCCTTCCAGGGGAGGGGCTGAGAGCATGGTTTCACTGACATCAACTGGTATCTGGACACATATCCCTGAGGTTGGGGGACAGGGTGGGCTGAGCGTACCTCCTGTCTGGAGGAGAAGTGCTGGCTGGCAGCTTTGGTGTAGAAGTGAAGGAGTGTTGCCCTGGGATCAGCCGGTACTGCCAGCGTCTGTCAGACTTCAAAAGGCCACCCGAGGTGGCCACAGGTGAGAGGGCTTTGTGGGTTGTCTTAGATCCTGGCCAGTATGGCTATCTAATGAGAGGGAGCCTGCACTGGGAGCCTGCGACAATGACAGAAAGCTCAGCTCAGCACTCTGTGATGACCTCCATGGTTGGGATGGGGGCGGGATGGCAGGGAGGTTCGCACGAGAGAGGATATATGTGTACAAAGAGCTGGTTCAGCTCACTGAACAGCGGAAACTAACACAGCATTGTAAAGCAATTATATTCCAATTAAAAAGAGAAAAAAGAAGCTTGAGGCAACCAACTGGATTTTTAAGGAATTAAAAGAGCTACTAGAATAGAGAAGGACAAGGACTGGATACAATGAGGTGTCTACAGAAGTGGAGAGTCTCCCTAAAAAATCTGCAATGGAGCCTAGCTGTAAACACATTTTCAACTTAGCACGAAGTCCATTTATGACAGTGCTATTCAAGATAAGAACTTTCCTACACCCCTTAACTCTCTTCCCTTCCAGCTTCCAACCACCTCTGAAGAACAAGAAGAAAGCTAACATATACTTGGAGGGAAAGTGAATGAGGAAAAAAAGAAGAATCTAATCCAGCCATCTCTTCACATCTCCAGCAGTCCTGGCTGGAGGAATGAGGAGCTCTCTTATCTTTAGATGAACATTGAAGTGATGAGCATGATATATTTCTTGGTATTCTAATGTTGGAATTTTGGTTATGTCTCATGACTTACATGGAGAAGGCAATGGCAACCCACTCCAGTACTCTTGCCTGGAAGATCCCATGGGTGGAGGAGCCTGGTGGGCTGCCATCTCTGGGGTCGCACAGAGTCGGACACGACTGAAGCGACTTAGCAGCAGCACCAGCATGACTTACAGTGACCATGAAACCCGTATTATCTAAATGACTTTCTGCTTACTTAAGAAAGTAATGGGACTACCAAAATTTTTAACTAGGGCAGAGAGAAACTAGCTAAAGTGCACATATAAAGGGACAGTGGGAGGAAAAAATACAGTTGTTTTTCAATTCTGTCTCAAAAATTGTGTTATATGTGCATAATAAACAATAGATGAAAATATATTAAAAAAATCAGCAGGTTCAAGAGCATGAGTGGTTAGTTTTTAGTGTTCACTTGTTTTTTCTGTCTTCACTTGATACAATGGCATAAAGGGATTTGATCATTTGAAGGAAAATAAAACAAAACTGCACTCTAAAAAAAAAAAGTTATGTTTCTAGAGGCAGTCAAAATGACTTGTGCTCATTCTCCTCTCTTCTGGGAGGTGGGGCTCATTAAGGGTACTCGACACAATATGGAGAATACCCAGAGAATTGGTGCTGTCATCAGAAACGGCACTGCTGAGTTTTCCCATTTTTCCAAATCATTAACATAAAACTGAAACCTCATGAACCCACTGGCTGCAGTAAATCTGGAAATTACCACAGCATAACAATATGAATTTATTATGGAAATGCTGACACGTGCTAAATATAGTCACCCCCCACAATATATTTCTGTTCAAAAGGGTTTATTTGAAGTTGGCCGCAAAATTCATCCTTTTTGTCAGCAGGCAAGAGCCGGACAATCTGGATTTGTAGCACGCTACCCTCTTTGTTGGGGAGTCTAGACAGAAACAACGAAGACAGGGACTTTTCTCTTTCCTTTTTGCCCACACAATGAGAGCTTTTGAAAACAAAATATTTGGTAAAATCGCCTTTTAATCACTTCTTTTCTTTCTCTCTATAAGGCCGAGCTATAAATAAACCATGAAAGTTCACATTTGATCGTCACTTCTGTAAGAAAAAATAGGAGCCCTGTACCAGGGCCGTGAAAGACTGCATTCATGGGGTATGACCCTTCCCTGCCGTGTCAAGGCCGAGATACCAGTCCGCACACGCAGCTCACCACTTCCCTGGGAGCAGCA